GCGCAGTGTGGCGCGGTGGAAGGGAGAGACAGGCGGATTTCTGCTGGTACCGGCCGGGGTGCAGAGATGAGCACGGGGCTCCCCTCCTGCCCTGGAGAAGGCGCTGATGCGCGTTTCTTCGTCAGAAAAACAATTAGTAAAAGTGGCATTTCGAGGATGTGAGCGATTCATTTCCGATTTTCCACCATGGCTTTGGGAAGGGGGTGGCACTACTGTATTTTTGCCTTCTCATCAACCTGTCTGGGTGCAACTTTAAGCCCCAAAAGATCTCAGTTGAAAGGCTTCTGACAATTTCTTGGTCCATTTGAGGATCCAAGGAAAAGTTGTCGTGGGCTAACGGAGGAAGAGGGCCTCGGGGAAGAAACCTTCTCGAGTTTAATTTCTTTTTGTGGGAGAGAACTGTTAAGTGTACTTGCTTTACAGATAGGAAGCTTGAGATTTTCTGTATATATGCGTTGATGGGAGCTCTGGTGGTGCAGTCGTTAAACTTGTCTGCTAACCAAAACGTCGGTGGTTGAATTTACCAGCCTTTCCTTGGAAACACTATGGGACAGTTCTACTCTGTCCTATAGGGTCGCTGTGCGTTGGGAATCGACTCAACGCCACCTAACAACAACATGCGTTGCTGTTACCGTTAAAACATACGCTTTTGTAAGGTAGGAGTTTGCTAGTTCTGTTATAGATAGGACACAGGTTAGTTAAGTAAAGCAAGATCACGTGGCTAAGAGCCTTCTGATGGTCCAAGTTGTGTCTGTGAGATTATAATAGCAGTCTATTACCTGTTCCTTTCACAAGTTACAAGCATATTGTCCCTGCTGTGCTGAATGAATGAGGTGTAAACATGCCATTTTAGAGCAGCTTTTTGTTTTGCACCTATAAAAATAAACGGCAATCCAGAAACCCTTCAGTGAAGAGATGATGACGAGTCTGATTGGAGGTGTTATCTTTGTCCAGGTGGCTTACTCTGTGCTGCGTTCTGTGGCACAGTTTTAAGGGTCCTGGGTCAAAGTAACTTACTAAAGATGACCAAGAGGCATTTGTCTGAGAAGGGTTGTTACGTTCCTGTTGGAACAAAGGTTGATGGGTCATTTGTTGAAGGTGTTCAATTTTAATGAAAGAATAGTTCAGGCTGCATTATGCAGGGGGGAGTGAGCCTTGCATCCATGTCCTAATTTTGAACTTTGCTTTTTGATTAGTTTGTCGCTGATGGCATCTTCAAAGCTGAACTCAATGAGTTTCTCACTCGGGAGCTGGCTGAAGATGGTTACTCTGGAGTTGAAGTTCGCGTTACACCAACCAGGACAGAAATCATTATCCTAGCCACCAGGTAAAAACTCATTTGATTGACCATCATCTATACGCTAAGATCGTTTACTCTGTAAACTTAAGGGGACAACCAGTGAATTTGGCCTTAGTGAATATAATTGTTTTTTAAAAGCTGCGTGTTTTTTAAATCTAACGCTCTAGTTCTTGTCCAAAATTTAAACATGCTTATGGCAGATGTATGAGTGTTTACTGCCACAATATGCAAGATTTAAAGTTGCATCTGGAATTTTGTGAGAGCTGTGAGTTGTCACGTTTTCCCTCAGGACACAGAATGTTCTTGGTGAGAAGGGCCGGCGGATCCGGGAATTGACCGCCGTAGTTCAGAAGAGATTTGGCTTCCCAGAGGGCAGCGTAGAGGTGAGTGGTCCCGGCTTATGCCAAAGATGACTGTGGGCTTCAAATGGTTTTTCTAAAAAACCTTCAACATCACCGTGAAGACTTTATGGTCAGATGAGTAGTATGAATGGATTGATATTCTGTTGAAGTTCTCTTAATGAGCATTGGGTTTAATTTCTTGGGCCTATTCTGCTAATTTTTGGTGGTTTAAGGATTTTACATTTATCTTAGGTATATACTGGAACCCTGGTGGTGTAGTGGTTAAGAGCTACAGCTGCTAACCAAAAGGTCGGCAGTTCGAATCCACCAGCCACTTCCTGGGAGCTCTGTGGAGCAGTTCTACTCTGTCCTGTAGGGTTGTTGTGAGTCAGAATCAACTTGACGCCAATGGGTTTTTGGGTATTCTGCTAATTTCTGGTGGTTAAAGGATTTTATGTTCAATTCAGATATATACTTGGGGTCGCATGAGTTGCCAAGCGTATGTATTAATGATACATTTGATATATAGGCTGCTCATTCTCCTTGGTGTGGGCTGTAGAAACAGTTGGGATTGGGAGGGCAGTGAATGCTTCAGCCTGTGTTACTAGTAGTGTGGGTAGTTGAAGGGCTTTGGTATTTACAGGATTATCATAGGGATCCATATGACGGTGTAGAAAAGGTGCTGATGTGGTAAGAAAGGAAAATGGTGTGAATGTGCTGATTTAATGGAAAACAATGAAGATAACAAAATTAATGATGTGTCCTGTTTTCTTTAAAGCTTTATGCTGAAAAAGTGGCCACAAGAGGTCTGTGTGCTATTGCGCAGGCAGAGTCTCTGCGTTACAAACTCCTAGGAGGGCTTGCTGTGCGGAGGTAAGTGTCTTGAGCTTTTAGTGGTCATATCCTTTTGTGTGCATCAGAATGTGGTGTGTCTGCCATTTTGTTAATTTGACAAATGAACTCTTTATGGCAGGCTCTGCTAGTCTCTGGGGGTTATAAGAATAAGATAGTGCCAGTTCATGCCCTCTGTGAACTGGCGGGCTGGCAAGACCAGTAAAGAAGCAGAAGCAATAAGTGGTCAGTGCTGTAATGGAGACGTGTTCTAGGTGCTTTGGGAGTAGACCAGAAGTGGAACTCTCAGGGAAGGGAGATTAGGTTTCTCGTTGTCTCCTTGGTGAAGCTGTAGAAAGAGCCCTCTGAGGGGTGGGTAGGCACCGAGAGGAATGATTCTGCCTGTGAGTTCATGCAGTGTGTATAGGTAGAAGTGCTTTAGCACTTGTAGGATACCACAAAATTCAGAAGAAGCAAGAAGTCAGATCCATTGTGCTAACACTTACGGGGACTGTAAAGAGATACGATATAATCTTGATATGAAAGAGCGGAAAAGACGTAATCTCTGTAAGCTGTGTGTAGGTAGTAATGTGAGGAGTGACAGGGTGAGATTGACCCTTCTAGTAAGATTTCAGTAGGAAGTTCTTTGTGCAGTGACTATTCGTGAAGTAATTCAAATGGTTCCTGTGGTTGGACTATTAGTACTTAATGCAGAGCCCTGGAGGGGGGTTTCTTTAGAGGACCAGCATGACAGCTACACATTAGGAAGGTTGTCCTGGTGAAGATGACTAGCGGGAAGGGCTTTAGTTAGGCAAGGGCATGTAGAAAAGACTGCCTGCCTGGTTTGAATGCCATTTCCACCATTACAAACAGTAGTTCTCAAAAGTTTGATCTCTGGACCAACATCACTGGCATCACGTGGAGACTTGTTAGAAATAAAAATTAGCAGTCCCCACCCCAGACCCATCAACTCAGAAACTGGAGGTATGACCCAGGTGAGTTTGCAAACACGGGTTTGACTTGGAAGTTCTGAGACCTGAGCGAGTTATATGAAATTGTGAAAAGACCTGGGGCAAGGTGGTAGGTTTTATTAAATGCTGTTTTACTTTCTCTGTTGAAAGTGGCAGCTAGCTCTCCAATTAGTATCTCCTAATAGGGATGTGGAGCCCAAGTGGCGCAGTGGTTAAGAGCTCACTGCTAACCAAAAAGGTTGGTGGTTCAAATGCACTAGCTGCTCTGTGAAAGACATGGCAGTCTGCTTCTGTAAAGATTAGAGCCTCGGAAACCCTATGGAGCAGTTCTGCTCTGTCCTATGGGGTCGCTATGAGTTGGAATCGACTCAACAGCGTAGGTTTTTTTTTTTTTTTTTTAAAAATAGGGATGTAAACTAATGAATGAGTTGGGGAGGACGTAGTTTTAGGGTAGTCTCAATTTTGTAGACTGTAGAGTTTTCCCCCTAGCACTCTAATACCAAGGCACCCAGGAGTCTAAATTAGTAATTAATCTGGAGCCTGAAATGGTTAAGGAATATTTCAGTGACCCATCAAGGGACGGATTACTCCATGATTGGAGCACTTCTGGGTTCTTCCTGTCTCAACTGATTGAGAAATACTAAATCGTCAGAGCTAGACTACACTGGAAGGACTTACTCCAGAATACAGTAGCAAGTACACTGTATGCTTATCATTAGATTAAATATGTGGTTCTCAACATTGGTTGCACATTAGAATCACCTATAAGCACCTGGGAACGTTTTTTAAGTACCTGTTCCTGGGCTTTGACATCTCCAGGTTGCAGCATAACTGGTCTGGAGTAGGGCGGAGACATTGGTTTTTTAGTTCTCAACCTTGAGGTGATCCTAATGTGTAGCCAAGGTTGGAAAACCCTTAGAACAAGTTTGGTGTTCACTTCCTAAAGAATTAGCCTTAGATTACATAGGATGGGAGTGGAAGAGAATTGCTATTTTTCATCTTAGATGTTGGTCACATTTATTCTCCATTAAAGGAATGTTGAAAACAGCAACGCAGACTAAAATATATGTATATATTTTTAACTTAGTGGGGACGTTGGGGTTGATAAGGTCTGTCTTTGTTAATAACACGAATAGGTCTCTGTTTTAAAGGGCCTGCTATGGTGTGTTGCGATTCATCATGGAGAGTGGAGCCAAGGGCTGCGAGGTCGTGGTGTCTGGGAAACTCCGAGGACAGAGGGCTAAATCCATGAAATTTGTGGATGGCCTGATGATTCACAGTGGGGACCCTGTTAACTACTACGTTGACACAGCTGTGCGACATGTGCTGCTCAGACAGGGTGAGCAGCTGGGAATGCTTAGGGTAGAGGGCATTTTGGGGATAAGGGTGGTTTTCCATGTACACCTCCGTGTTTGGGAAATTCATCTTAGGAGTAGCAGTGCCATGTTTGTATTCCTTGGGTTTATTGGTTAACTGCATTAAACTTTTAAGAATTGAATTGCTGGGGTCGGTCGGATCCAAGCATTGATTTATCCTTGTCTCAGCCACCTGTGTACCCTTCAGTGATGACACGATGACGAGTCAGAAAGGTCACTTCCTGCTCTTGGTCCTTGTCAGTGCCATGTTCTGTGGTCCTGGTCATCGGTTCCTTTTGCAAAGGTGTCCTGTTCATTGGTTGATTTAGAGGCATTTGTCTGAGAAGGGACCAACTCAAGGGTGCTTGAGTAAGCTCTTTTCCTTCTGTACTGTTGTGTGGAGGGTGGTTGATAAAACCACTGCTAGGTCCTAACTCTGGTGTCATCCTCTAGGTGTGCTGGGCATCAAAGTGAAGATCATGCTGCCTTGGGACCCAAGTGGTAAGATTGGCCCTAAGAAGCCCCTGCCTGACCATGTGAGCATTGTGGAACCCAAAGATGAGATACTACCCACCACCCCCATCTCGGAGCAGAAGGGTGGGAAGCCAGAGCCGCCTGCCATGCCCCAGCCAGTCCCCACTGCATAATAGGTATGTCTCCGGGGGACTCTTGGGGCACAGTAGAGTCCCATTCCTTTGTCTCCATGTTTAGTTTTGTGTTATGCTTTGGTGAATAAAAATTGAAGTACGCTTGCTTCACATGGGAGAGCACAAGTTGGGTCCCATTTAACCCAGGATTCTGTTGGAAGAGGTGTTTTGTTTGCCTTTGGTCTCAAGAAAAAGCTCCCAACTTTATAAATTACTACAGGAATTTTCCTTTATGGTTTACCTTCTTTTTCCAAGGGACCCACTCCTCTTCCTAGTAATTAGCTATTCTGTCCCTCAGCAGCCACCTAAAAACACAGTGACATCAAGCCTCTACTCTGCCCTATGCATCTGGGTTTTAGGTGTTCTTTGAAAACCCTAAGTAGGAGTATATACCCTTTGGTAAATGAAGTAACCTGATACTCAGGTGACATTGCTGTTGTGCTTTCTTTGGTTTCAGGGTCTCCTTGGCAACTGGATCTGGAGTTTGGATGTTGCTCTGTAAAGACCTTTAATAAAATCTTTTTAAAAGACACATGGCCTGACTTGACTGTATGTCCAGTGTTCAGACTGAGGATCATGTTGACCTATGGGAGCATTGATTCTTGTCTCATACTTGATTGGTGCTTGAGGCCACCTGACTCAAAATGTTTTGTGCTGCCTTTAAAATCCTCTCTTGTTTTTAGCCATGTTTGTGCAGTATTGGCAAGGGCCAGAAGGGGAGGGCCTGGGCAAAGATAACCAGAGAAATATTTTGTGGAAGATGACTTTCCCTGATGTATGAGGAAATAAGTATTACACATAGAAAATAATACAATGGTAATATATATTGTGGGTCATTCTATGCTGTAGGTGTTTTTCTTCTCAGTGTGTCTGAACTGTAAAGGGAATTTGTGCCACTGATGAAGGGCCTGAAGCCTAGTGGCAGCTGTCATGGGCCTGGGACGCCAAATCAAGTGCACAGTGTATGGTGGTTGTGTCATCCTCGCTGGTGAAATACCCTTGTTCCACAGAGAACATCTACCTACCGGATGTTCTGGCTGATTATTTGGTGTCTGCTGAACTAGGCTGCCAGCTGCACAAGGACAGGCACTGTGTGCAGATAGTATTTGTAATGCTTGGCACATGGTAAGGTCTTCATATTTTAGTGAATTAATGGGTTATGTTGGGTGCACACTAACTAAGGTACTTTGTTCCCCCTTTTTGAAAGGTCCTATCATGGATTGAATTGTCACCCAAAAATACATGTCAACTTGGCTAGGCCATGATTCCCAGTATTGTGTGATTGTCTACCATTTTGTCACCTGATGTGATTTTCCTGTGTTGTAAATCCTCCCTCTATGATGTTAATGAGGCAGGATTAGGTTGTGTTTTAAATTAATCTCTTGAAATACAAAAGAGAAGCAAGCAGAGACATAGGGACCTCTTACCACCAAAAAAGCATAGCTGGGAGCAGAGCATGTCCTTTGGACTCAGGGTCCCTGCACTGAGAAACTAGTCCAAGGGAAGAATGATGACAAGGAACTTCCTCTAGAACCAACAGAGAGAAAGCCTTCCCCTGGAGCTGATGCCCTTTAGACTTCTAGCCTACTAGACTGAGAGAATAACTCCTGTTTGTTGAAGCCATCCACTTGTGGATTTCTGTTTTAGCAGAACTAGGTGACTAAGAGAGCCGTTGATGTTTTTACTGACTTGACAGTCCCAACTGTTTTGTCAGTTTTGGTGGAATTGAGGCCCAGTCATTAGTAGAAACACTCCTATTTTTCATATTCTTACTAATCTGGCATAATTGATCTCTAAATGACCTGTGGACTGTGTTTTAGGAGTGGGATGCTGTATTTTATATGTAGTATCTTGTGGCTAAGAACTAGAACCTAGGTTTTGAATGATTGGTCCTCTGCCCAACCGTCTACTGCAGGCAGCTGTTGGGCTGTTGGTACAGTGGAAACTGGGAACATTTGCAAGCTTTTATTTATCCCTCGTGGTCAGAACTATTTCGCATTTTGCAGTTTTTCTGAAAATTTTGTTTTAGCTGAGCTGCTGTGTTTCTGGAGTTGTGTAGTTGTGACATTTATTTTTAATGAAACTAGCTCCACTAATTTGAAAATTCAGAGGACTGGGTGCTGGAAATAGTAATTAAGACAGTCGCAGCCATCTAAGATCTCAGAGTCTGGCACAACCAATTGCAGGCCTTTGTAAATTAGCCTAGGTCATCTAGTACATTTCCTTTCTTTTCTAATGAGTTTTCTGTAAACCAGTACACTTAAAATTGGAAGTTAGTCTGTGGGACTCAGAAGTGCTGTTAATGTTCCACCAGGTGGTGCTGTAACAGGGAATGTGTGCCAGAGTAGCAGCAGGGGAGGGAGGTTTTTGTAAATAAACTTTTATTGAAGTGTGACAGGCATACAGAAGAGTATGCAGATCAGAGTTCCGGCAAAATGGCGCTCTAGGCAGAAGCACCACGCCGTCCCTCCACAGCAAAGATCCGAAAAACTGAGTCGAACAGAGAATACAACAATCCTGAAACCCTAAAACATCAAATGAAGAGATAAAGAACTCAGCCAAGCACCAAATGGAGTGAGAAAACTGACAGAAC